GACACGTGTCTCCCTCAATTTTCCACAAGCAAAACCGTTCCCTCCAATATTCAAATTTCAAATGCTTCGACAAACCATTCGTCTCAGCAGGCGGTCGAACTCTTGGCTTCTGGGTGAGTTCTTCGACTTAGCTATTTTGCTTCTTTCGACCATCCTTTTGGTCTCAACCTATCTTTTACCCTTTTTGTCTTAAATGGCTTCTTTCTAACTGAGGCGTCGAATTTAGGAGCTAACACGTAGCCTAAGAGATTTTGGTCTCAGCTTGTTAATCAAAGTAACCAAGCTCTTTTTTTCACTTCTACTTTGATGGACTAGATTAATTCCAACATTTCTCAACCTTCTCATTCCAACAATGTTGACTGGGTTGATCTGTGGGCTTTCGGCTGTCATCAGATCTAGATTTGGCGGAACAAGCAAATACATGATCCCCTTTTCATCATGCCTCATCAAGGGTTTGACAGGTTGTTCTTCTTTACCTAGACAGCAAACATCTTTCTCTCAAGTGCTTTCGCGACCCTCTGCTTTAGGTTTGGTGTGTTAATTCAGATGGGGCTGTAAAAATGGAATTGGCGCTTCTTGTAGGGCCTTTATCGTGACAATTAAGATGTTTGGCTTGGCGGTTTTACCTGTTATATTAGGGATTGTAGTAGTAATACTGTTGAATTATGGGGCGTTCTTTTGGGCTTGGAGTTAGCTCGGAAGTGTGATTTGGTTTTAAAAATGTCATTGTCCAAGTTAATAATAAATCGGTGGTAGATGCTCTTCACGGGTTTCCTTGGATGCTCAAGCAAGGCTCAAATTTGATTAGACATATTTTCCTTCTTCTTTCCCCTCTTTTAAGAGATATTTTTACCAATACGCCACATTTTGAAATAGAATGTACCAATATGCCACAAGTTGAAAAAAAAAATCAAAATGTCACGAATTGTGTTAAGGTTCGTCCTTCCATTGGACGAACCATTGAAGATGATAAAATAATGAAGGGGCTCGGATGGCCGACCCAATGCCATGAATTTTTTTATTATTATTTTTTATTATTTTAAAAAAATATATATATAATATTTATTATTATTTTATATATTTATTATGATTTAAAATATAAAAACTTATATAATATAATAGACATTATCATTTAAATATTAAAAACTCACTACATGATTTAAAATATTAATAACTTATATAATAGACATTACAATTTAAGAAATATTTTTGAAAATAATTTAAAAAACAAATAAAGTAATTTAGACGGACCGATTTGACGGGCCTGCTACATTCGAACATTTTTTACGCATATGACCAATTTCTCGACATATTTCACATCTTCTCTTTTCTTTCTCAAAATCGTCCATTTCAGTTCTAATTCTTGTACTATTTTGACGCCCTTTTCTTATTCCTTCGCATTGTCTCGTCATGACAAAGAGTGAATCCTTTATATGTTGGCCAATTTTGGTGGTGTGGAAGTCCAAGGAAGCTTTCGCTGTAAACTTTGAATACACTCAGAACCTTGAAAACATCTGGTATGTGCATGTTGTGGTCATGTCGTATACTGGCATATGCTGCGATTACAAGGGAGCAAGGTAAATGAAATACCTGAAACCTCTCACAATCGCACCACCCTCTCCTAAGATCAACGCTAAAAGTACCTAATGGTCGGACATCGCGTTGATTAATGCTTTCGGCAACCATAAGTTTGTTACTGCTACATTCTCTAAATATATGCTAACATCTGTATTTAAACTCTAACTATTATATTTTTTGTAACAGTTTATTTGGAGGCCCTACCCAAACTACCCAGAATGCGTCCTTACAGATAGCCAGATTTGGAGCACTACAACTTCAATTATCAGTTTTCATATTGTTGAAATGCATCAAGCTGATAGGGTAAAATTGCAGTTTGGATTTCAACAAGATATCCCTTATTAGCCTAGATGTCTACGTGAACAACATGAAACTGAAATGTCCAATACACGGAAAGATCATTGGCGCAATATAAATAGATAAGAGAATAACGGGTGGAAAAACAGAAAAAAAATTGACCATACAAGGTAACATGGTTAACGGTAACTATGTTCATAGTACTGCATATATGCAATGGTTTTTATCCATTCCATTTATGCATGCTTCTCAAGGTCAGTTCCTAGAAGACCCCCGTCAATATGCATCGTCTTCATCACAACAAAGATCCTCGTACCAGCCCATATACCAACACCCCCAACCCACACAACTCCAACTAACATACCAACGCACTCATACCACATTCTTTGCCACCTCCTCTCAACAACCAACACCATACACCCCAACCCCACAATAAAACTTCTACTACCACCAAGAATACCAGGAACAAACCACATTTCGACCATCTTTTCAGTTCACTCCAATTCCTCAACCTAATTTTGATTTCTCTTACCCCCAATCACAACACCAAACATTTTACCCTTTATTGTCTCAACCGACTTCTACCGGCCGCACTGGCGGTGTTTATTACTCTCCCATCCAACAAAGCCCTCCAACCATCTTCAACCAACCATCCCAGCTAGTCCCCAACTATCTCCTAACTGCCCCAACTATCTCCTAACTGATGATCAACTCATGGAATGACCAGGTTTTTCTGTTATTGATGTGGACATGGTCGATACATCACATTAACCTGAAAATGAAAAGTTGACTTCCGACTCTATCCCATCACCTACAAGACGGCAATCTGAAGAGTTAAGCGTTGGTAAACGAGTGAAAAAGAGTAAAATGTGGGGAACTGACGGTCATTTACGTAGACAAAAATGATGTATCTTTTTCACTCATTCATACTAATAAAATTGTTTTTATATATGATTTTATTTAATAAGCAAATTAATTAAATACTGTAAAAAATATTTAATAACATTATAAAATTAATTAAATTATTTATTTATTAATATTTTAAATCATATAATGAGTTTTTAATATTTAAAAAACAATTTAATATATAAAATAATAATAAATATTATTTATTTTTTAAAATAATAAAAAAAACAAAAAAGAAATTTAACTTCAAAGGGTCGGCCATCCATTGGCCGAACCGCTTCGTTGTATATTTAGCTTCAATGGATCGTCCAATGTAAGGACAAACCCTAACACAATTCATGTCATTTTAATCTTTTTTTTTTTTTTTAACTTGTGGCATATTGGTACATTTCATTTCATTTCAAAACATAGCATATTAGTCAAAATGTCCTTTTAAGAAGTTCAATTTCGAACACATTTTTAGAGAGGTTAATTATTGTACGGAGAGGTTAATTATTGCACGGACTACCTTGCAAAGCTGGGCTTATCCAACTCTTTGGATTTCTCCTAGTTTAATGAGTGCCCTCTTATTTTGAAACATTTGCTTCAGTTACATTGGTCTAGGGTATCTGAGGCTTATTGCCTAATTTTTCTTTGGTTGGACCTTGTGCCATCCCTTTGCATCAAAAAATAAAAAAAGTTAAGCAATATTTATTTATATCTTATAATAATTGTAATGTTGTAAATAAGTCATTATACTTATAAATCAACAATTTAAAATAAAAATTCATAAAATGAGAAACGAAAGACCCGTGTTGTATATACTTGTGCCAAAGAGAATGCTGAAAACAAACTTTGAAGAGTGTATTTTCAAAAATAATAATGTTTACACATTTACAATATTTTTGAAATGTATGATTGATGTTCATTGGTTGAAGTGAAAATAAAAGGGGATTTCTTATCCCACCCAACACTATATAAAAATCTAAAAATGCATTTTATAATTCAAAAATGCATCTTTGTACAATATATTATTTCTTGGTCTGCAATTGAATTTAGTCGAAAAATATAAATAACTAAAACTGACTTGCATTGTATTATTTTGAGATTTTATAATCTGTGATGGTGTGTTATTTTGAGGTTTTACCTGACAATATATACTCCCCACTTTGTGAAAGGCCAAGTTTTCTCTCAATTTTGAAATTGGAATAGGATTTGGAGGAATGAATTTTCTTCATTTGCTTTAAAATCCTAGTTTTTATCTCTGTTTTTAAACAAAACTCTTTTTGACTCATCAAAAGTTTCACGGTTAAATCTCTTTTCCTTTCCAACAAAGCCACAACAATTTGTATAATATAATCACCATCTTTTCATTTTTGTAAAACTAAACAAACACAATGGCCGGTAACAGATAACAGATCTGGTAATGTCTAAAGTTATTCGTCACCTATCCTTTGTCAATTTGTGATGGCCTGAGCCTTTGACTCCATTATAGTTTCTAAAAATGTATTTTCAGAGACACTCCGAAAATGCATTTACGAACAAAAATTTGTCCTAAAATTATGGTATCACTCAAAAACGAATGAATTATGTGTGTATAGAGTGCATCCGGAGATGCATCTCCAAATTCTGAAATATTTTTGACTTTTCACAAAATGCCCTAGTAAATCATAGGGTATGTTAAGAAATCCCCCAATAAAAACATGAACTATACCCAATAAAAACATGAACTATACTAACTAATCAGGCCCTAAACACGAACACTAAGTCGACCTATGTTAGCAACCATTTACTCAAAATCAACCATATGTGCAGTTAATGGTGCAAAGTGCAAACACCCTAACAAGAACGCATCCTCCTACAAATGAGGGCTATGTCACACAGGTAGCTCAGACAATATTTAGCTTCATTTTTATCAACTAAGAAAATCAATTCCTTTTCATAGCTCTTAAAGTAGAAGTTTCTCCAAAAGAAATTATCATTTCGGTGAAGTAAAATCACAGCAAAGAGGAGTATACACAAGTAGATGCGATTTCCACCATAAACCAGATGAAATATTTCAATTTTTACAGAGTGTTCACAATTGGAGAACTTTGGCACTATAAAATTGACGAAAAATGGCAAGCTAACCCCACAAACATTAATCAGGGAGAAGAATAAATAACTAGACAAATAAAACAGGAATTCCTGAATTTTCTATTATTTTAACCAACCAACATATGCTATTCCTAACAGTAAATTTACATACTTTTGGCATCCGCTTTTGATGAAGGAAGTGTTCCAAAAACTTTATCCCATAGTTTTGAAGTGATCCCAAAGCCTTTATCCTGGATTCGAAAGTGGTGGTTCAAGTGGTACTTCTGCAGAAAACCAGGGAAAGATGATTAGGCTTGTATGGCTCACAAGACGGAGATAACTGGTGGTAAATATTAACCGAAGGTGCCGCATAAAAAACTACTTAGGATAACAGAATACAAACAATCCTTAGCATAGACTTTTAAATAAATCTGTCCAAGTTATTTAATTGTTCACCTTTCCTTGAGAATACATCAATAGCATGTTTTGGAAGATACAATAATGGGAAGATACAAAAAAAAATTATGCCCAAGATTTGAAGGGTTAAACCCCAAGCAGGACATGTGAGAAATGAAATTATTGTGTTCCAAAAAAGGATGATCCAAACTCCTTAAGAAACTTGACCATGTGCCATGTTTTAAGTATTATTGAAAAGGGTGGGAAACATCTACATTCACATTTTTTTTAACTAAAGAGAAAACCAGAAAAACTATAAGAGAAACTATTAAAAAAAATCTTGAGATTAACAAAAATGGATAAAAACATGGTCTTTGATAGAAAACTATGGCGTAATTTGATCTATGTAGCCGACCCCACTTAGTGGGATAAGGCTTGGTTGTTGTTGTAAAGAGAAAGCCTGAAAGAAGGCAAAAAAAATAACTATCACACCAAATGGTTACATACACATATCTAGGTTTAATGTCCTTCAGTTTCTACTGAAATTAAATACTTAACTGCTAGAAGAGCTAACTTTGATCAGCTAATATCTGGTAAGTTATACAGTTGTTATTATCCCTTTCATTGATTTTTATTAGAACCAAGTGATTTTGCTTAGAAGAATATTGGAGTAATGAATGGTAATTTAATTGCCATCCACTGTTAAAGAAGGGAGGGAAGTGTTTTTTACCTTGAGATTACGGGGAACTTCAGTCCTTGGCTGACCATGATGCAAGTAATAATGGGTGCAATCATATATTACATAACCCAATAAGCCGCCTCCAAATAAAGCAGGAGCAGTTGAAGGGGTGGAAAAGAGCTTCACCGTGTTCCAGAACTAGAGACCGACATACAAAAATATTAATATCACTTCATGGAACCTTAAACTACGTGTGCAAAACATGTCTCTGAACCATACCAATATTGACATATCACATATCTACATTCAGAATTAATCAAATTATTTTGTAAAATGGCAAAAAAAAAAAAAAAAATTTCATTGTCAAAAGAAAGCTACAAATTGTGTTATACACGACGGGAGCATTTGTTGTGACGCGAGTCAAGAAATCCAGATGCAACAATTTTTTTGATTTTCTTAAGCTCTTAAATTAAGAAGTAGTACAAAGGGGAAATTGGCCCAAAAATTGGATAGGGGTCAAGACGCAGTCGGCGGCCGGCGGCTGACTCAAGTGCCCCCCGCACTCTTTTCCAATGAAATTAAATACAATTCCAATTATAGTGAGGATCTTATCCGCCATTCTTATAGTCCTTCCGAATCATTTTATTAAACAGTGGCATGCAGTATCATTCCTTCCGAATCATTTTATTAAACAGTGGCATGCAGTATCACTCCTTCCGAATCATTTTATTAAACAGTGGCATGCAGTATCGCTATAAAAAAAGAATCCCTCTAAAACTTATGATTTTAATAACCATTTGACACAATAAGAAAACTTTGACGTGACACTATTTAAAGGAATAATTGGATGAAAAAGTTGTCGTAGGAAAAACATTGAACGTGATTAGTGAGCAACCGAATTGAACGATTTAAAAAAAGAATGACCAACATTAATAGATTTCACCAATAATAATAAAAATATACATGGACCAAAACCGCAAGTCATACTTCTAATAATCTAATTAGATTGGATACGGTCTTAGGTTGGTTGGACTTAACTCAACCTTAAAAGACCGACTAGTAACATGAGGATTGTTGAGGTTTTAGAAGCTCTACTTTGACTTTATCACAAGACAATGAGACTTGAATTTTCTCAGTAGAAGGGGGGAAAAAACTAATTACTCTTCTAGTCATTCCAAACTCCTATTATAATTCACGGTAAAAACTTAGATGAAATCTCAATATTCCTTCATAGCCAAGTATTGGAAAATGCAGCATATAATATGGCAAAAAATAGATACCGGGAACAACAATATAGCTGTTGCAGCAGGGGGGAAAACAAGTCTCAAACCATCCATGGGGTGTTTGTGGTGGCAGCCATGTAGAAGATAATGCATGGTATTTCCCCTAAAGCAAGATTTAACCAAAAAAACATTACAGAAATAAACTTTCAGTGTTATTAAAACACAATAAGCTGTTACTCAATGCATATATGATTAAAGATAACTACATGCAAAAACTAATGATTAATGCTGGCAACACATTCTTTTAAAAATCTTATTTATTATTGGGTAAAATTCCTATTAAGTCCACTAAATCATGCCAGTACCACTTTTTCTTTGGTGGGACACACTCTGTTTTCGGGAAAAGCAAACCAACATGTATTTATTACAATAATAGAACATGTTAGAGAATGTGTTGCCAACATTTCTCAAATCAACTTATGATTTCATGCTATGGAAACAAAAGGGAAGACAGAGAGAGATCTAACCAGTAGGTCTTTGTTTTAATGTGGAAAAGAAAACGGTGCAATGTGTACTCGAGCAATGTCCATATAAAAATGCCAAGAACCACCATCAGAGCTATATGAGGACAGCTGAGGCCCATTTGTACAGAGTTATATACAAACCAACATACAACCGGAAGCCAAATGACTGGTATTGCCCACCAGACTGTGAGGGTCAAGAACTGTTTCAAACAGTAACGAGTCAGGAACACATGATAGTATAAAATGTAAAGAACATAAAATTCAAAATCCTCATTTTCTTGTAATGTGGTTGATTATTAAAAGGATTAAAATGATCTCTATAATTGCAACATGCCAATCAAACTCAAAGGGAATCTTTATCCAAAAGCTACAAACCAGAAAACTTAATCATTAGTATAAACTAGAAATAGAGGGAAACAAAATAAGATTGGAGTGATTATTCAGGGAGAAACTTAGATTAGAGACTATTCACAACAGGATAACTGAAACTTGTCCTGTGAAGTTTCATCTGAGAGAAGATGGCCAACAAGAGCTAAATGATAGAGAGTAGAAATGTGGAAGATAGTGAAAATTAAAATTTTGGAGGAACTATGGTCATATAGTTTAATTGAAGAAACCATTGAAAAAGATCTTGCTCTAAACGGTTTAACAATTTACCAAAAACTCGGTTAATTGTAAATCAAATATCATCAATTGGTCTGCCCAGCCACCCCCACAAAGAGATACAAGGCTTGGCTGTTGTGGACGTGTTTAATGATATACCTCTAGAACCTCATTTTGAAAGAAACGGGGCCCTTCCTTGCTAACAATGGGCTGATGAACCCACTCTTCATAAGCTTCACCAAGATGACCAACCTGTAGAACACTAAAAATTTGCTCAGGTTCTTTGAATATTTACTTGGTATACATTCTAACAAAGTACAAACTATCCACTTGTTATCCCCTATCACAGCAGAAGTTCACACAGAAACTTAAATCAAAACTATGTAGCATTTAAAATATAATGCATTGAGATCATTTCTGAAAGAGGAGCGTTAAGGGTTGAGCCCGTACCTGGAAAACAAGGGCCTTATTCAAATCAACTACAAAGTTCTGGGCAACCATCTTGGTACTGAACACTAAAAATAAGAGAGTGTTAAACTCTTAACACGAAACTAGTTTAACGACAAAAAAAAAGGTGTCATAATATGAAGCACAAAATGTGTTAGGAAAAAGCTAGGAACATGACCTGCCGCTCTAATGACATCAACTATTTTGACCTTTCTCTTAAGAAAAAGCAAAGAACATGACAAGTTAATATACACAAGAAAACAAAGTATTTTCATTGCTTCAAACCAAAGCTTACGTACCAAATGTTAATTAGTTCAAAATCCCATAAACAACCTTACAGCCACCAGAATAGACCACAGTCGTTTCCATCATACTAAAAATAAATACCAAACTTTTCACTCCTCATCATCATCAACATCACACGAAAAAAAAAGTAATAATTTCACATGCATAAACGGTGGGAAAAAAAATACACTGCTTCAGAAAAAAAAAAAAAACAAATAATTGAAATTCCCTTTTTCTAAACCTTCATCATTACTTGAATTAAAAAAATAAGGTCATGTCGATGAAGTGATTACTAATGCAATCAGCTATCAACTATCCAATTGAGCAATGAATTACAGTAGCGAAACTCTAAAATTGTTAAAAGCGAAAAACTCAAACAATCTCGAAATTAGATTTTTAGTAAATAAATTCACCGCACGAAACAAATTCACTACTGAAAAAGATGAATTGAAATGCTAAATTAAGGGCAAAACTAGATCTAGAAGTTGGAAGTGAAGTTGACAGAACTAACCGAACAGTAGAAGACAACAATGCAGGTAAAATCCAACACCAACAATGAAAAGTGTACGGTCTCTATTACTCTACGAAGGCCGTGCACGCCGCGGGCACCGCCGTTTGAGTTGAGTGACCGCGCCGTTACCTTCTCCACGTTGAGCTACGGAAAAGGAATTGGGGGATAGTGTTTGCGTGTTGTGGTGAGTGATCGATTAGTGTTTTTGGGGGCATGCATAGATGATCTGGACCGTCCGTTTATATGGAATAGTAACGAATAAACTCTGTGGGCGATGGAATCTAGCCGTTGACAGTCTGGCACTTGGGTGTGGTTATGCTGCATGAGGGCTCATGTGTTTTCGTAACGTGGCAAAATTATATTGGATTTAGATTTCGTATCGGTGAAGCCCTCACTAGAAGAATTCTAAAAAATAATCAAGAGATTAAAAGAATGGTTTGGATCCCGTAAAATAAAAAATTAGAACATTTAAAATCATTTACAAGTATTTTTCTTTTACTTTTTGTAAGAGTTTTATTCTAAATCATTCATATACTTTTTTTTCCTTCACTTTTTCATGTTCTCTCTTCCTTTATCATTTAATTTTTTTTTCCGTCAATTCTATTTATCTTGTTATAAGTCATTTTTTTTTCAATTAAAATTTTCAATTTCAATTAGTTCGTCTTAACAAATTATCATGGTTACATTGTTACTCTTATAGTTTGTCATGGACATTGTTACATCGCTATTCATGTCATTTGTTGTCTCTATCATTATTTCGCTCACAATTTTGTTGTCATCGGCGCCAATTCACTTGTAGTCTCGATGTTGGTTTCGTCAATTCACTTGTAATCTCGATGTTGTTACCGCCACTTTTGTCATCGTTTGTCTTTCAAAATCGTTTAATTTTATCAAATCACTTGTGTTTTCAAGCCTGTCACAGCTAAGCCACTCATATATTCTTTAGACCACTTCATGAGTTCATGTCATGAGTATATTTTTCAGTTTGCTTTGAAGAGGAAAAAATGTAATCAAAGTTCATAGTGTAATTGCAGCCAATTCGCACAATTTAAAACATGATTTTAGTGTTACACTTATGCAGTTTTTCGTCAATTTTAATCTTGAAGTTTGAAATGTGAATAGAGTATTTTTAACAATGAAAATAGTATGTAATAGTATATTAAAATGTTATATTTTTTTAACATTCTTATTTCAAAACATGTTGTAAACATTTTATTGGTTTATTTTTCATAATTTTGTTGAATAAACTTGTTATGAACAATTTTTGTGCTAGTATATAACTAGTTTCATGTATCTTTATAATGTTTTCTTATGTCATTTATTATTTTTTCAATTTTAAATGTGTATATGTTATTAGTGGAATGGTTGAAATAGAAGTATTTTTTGTTTACTTTCATAGATAATGTTTGGTTAGCTAAATTGTGTTTGGACAAACAAGATGAAACAATTTAAAGGCTTGTAGGACTTCATATTTTTGTTTAAAGAAGTATAGCTATATGTATTTGGTATGGCCATCTACATAGGCAATGTAGTACCTATAACCAGAACTAGAAAACTAGAGGGAGAGGGAGATGGCCCCATAAATCAGGGTAAATCACATCAAAGGCTTTATGATAAACACTTTTAGTTAAACGAGCATGTAATCTATGTGTTTTACAAGATTACAAGAAGTGCAAAAGAAAGAGTTATGTTTATTAGAACTAGAAATGTTACACAACTTGAGCATATGAGTGTTGCACCCCAAAATTTGACCAACAATTATTCATTCATTGAGTGTTTGAAAGTTGATACCTTCATCAGAAAGTTCAAGAGATCCTCAGAAGAATTGATTAAAACCAGGGTTGTGTGCTTCATAGCTTGAGAGTTGTGGGTGCTCCTCAGATGATTCTGAGACTTTGAGAATGAACTGGATGTTTTGAGAAAGCTTATGAGATGTCTTGATAGCCATCATGAAGCCCAGAGAAGTCATTGTGCAAGAATTCAGAGGATTCAACCATGAATGGTGGAATTAGGGTTTTGACTGGGTCAACCCTAGATCAGCTGAAGATTTGGAGAAGGTTGAGACCCAATCCAAGGGCCATGAGATCATGGAATGATGCATAGAGATGTTATAAAGATGATTCCTAGACCAACTCATCATGATTGAGGAGTTTGAGAAGTTTTGAGTTAGGGTTTCTGAGGATTGTCAGTGAAAAAACCCTAGTTTGATCCCTATCTTCCAGGCAGTTTTATCCCTAGATGTGATTAATATCTCATCTTCCCCACAACATGAATGTTGTAGAGCTTGTTCTAAGCTTTAATTTGAGTGGTGGAAGTCCTTGATAGGAGTTACAGAGCTCAAGTTATGGTTTTGACAAATTACAGGTCAGCAGAGGTGTGTGAATCTGGGTCCTTGAAAGTCACCCAACTTGCAGACAACTTTTGCCCTAGTAGGAGGATTCCTATGGTTTCTTGGTCAACATGAATGTTGAAGAGGATCTTCTTAGCTTTAATTTGAGTGGTAGAAGTCCTTGATTGGATTGGTGGAACTCAAGTTATGGTTTGAACAAGGCAGGGGTATTTTGGTCATTTGTCAGTTATAGGTCATTTTAGCCAATGCCTAAAACTCCTATTTCCAAGCCTCAAATGGAAAAACTCAAAACATGAAAGTTGCTCAAAATGTGATTTTAAGTCTAGAAAGAAGGTCACAAATTGTTGGAAAAGCTCATAGCACAAGATTCCATGATTGGTCAAAAATGAACTAAAAATGACTTATAACTTTGAAAAGTTGAAATTGGAAAGTGATTTGGGAGATCCACAAATCCAAAATAGGTCATCCAATATATCATTTTGATTGGAAAAACTATTTTGAGAACTTTGGTTTAAGTAGAATTTTCATTTAAGGCTCCAAAAATGGACTTCCTTTGGAAATTTCTTACTTGAAAAAGAAGGCAATGGTGAGAAACCCTACATAAGCCAAAAATGCCCTTGTTTTTCACTCATCCCTTCTCAATATCTCACATAAGGACATTTTGAGACAAAATAACAAGGCATGGCATATGAGATGAGATAACCATTATGGAATATCATGGAATTTTCAAGAAACTTCCACACCCTTCTAGATGAATCTAGAAGCATCCAATCAATCAATATATAAAGAGTGCATTGTGGAGAGTCTAAGGTTGGTGAAACTTGAGCCAAGTCAGAAGAGAGAGAGAGATACATAGCCATTGGAGAGATTTCTTCAAGTTGAAGCAAGTCAAGATATCTTGCACTACCAGCCACCTCCTTCATCACCATTGCAAACAGAAGATTGGTGGTCATTCAAGGAACATCTAGAAGCAGTTTCAAGCCTTGGAACCATCTCTACATCACTGCACCATAACCTCTTGACAGGTTCTTTCTTCACTCTCTATCTCCTAAATTATGTAGTTTTAGTTCATTCTTTAGGTGTATAATTGATGTGTTAGGGTAGAGGATTAATTCTTGAAAGCTAGGGCACGATCCATGATGGTTCGTGACAGGTGCATAAATTTTTAATCTTCCATAACTGGCTGTGTAATAAGTTTTAGGTAGCAAGAATTAGGCTAGAATCACCAGGATAGCATGTAGAACATGATTGCATCATTATACTGAAGTGTAATGAAGGTTGACCTCAGTTGGAAATTTTGAACCGTGTTTGTACCAAGATGTTCAAGCTTTCTGTTTGGTTTATTCAGGTGGAATTAGGAAAATCTAATCGTACCATTGCATTCTAGGCATTTAGTAGGCCATTTTTCATTTTGGAATCGAGTCCAACCGTGGCGTGTGGAGAGAGATAGGTGAGCTCGAGTTTTAGGGCATGGAGGCAAGGGGTTCTGAAAACCCTAGTCTGGTTGGAGAAGACGAAGGACAAGCCATTGGATCATTCCCAGATGTTGACAAATTCGCCTGATCCAACGGCTGTGATCGTGCCTGAGAATTGGAGGGAAGTTTGAACTAAATGAAACACGGTCGTTTCATTAAAGACCGCTTCTGGGCCCAGAGTTCTATCCCCACCCCCCTTTATTTCTGGCCCAATATTTTTAACTGGCGCTTATTGCTATTCTGACCCCCCTCCCATTTAATTCATTTAATTTCTTTTATTTTCTTTTTTAATATTTCTGTTTTGAATAATTCATTAAAAATAGATAATAAATGATTTTTTAATGCTTCTTTTTTCTATGATTAGATTAAAATGAGTAGAAAATTATAAAAATAAAATTGAGATTTTATTTTTAGGTTTAATATTTTTAATAGA